TCAAAAACGTTAACCGAGGTACCACTGTATTTAGAATTTAATGAACACAGAGATTAAATTAAAGTGATTAAATGTTGATAAAGATCTAAGACTGTATTCTTTAAAAAAATATATTATGTATGCTACTGTGAACAAGATTATCGCTGATTTTATAGATATTTTAAAAACTAGTTAATTATCAAAAACAAATATGTTCTTAATTTTTAATAATTTTTACACAAATTTTTTGTTCTTTTTTTACGATTTTATACATTAACACATATGTCTTTATGATGATATTTAAATAATAAATTTTTCAATTTAAAGTATAAAACATAAATAATTTTACTTTTTTTTGACATAAAAAATAAATTATTATTTTTGTTAAAATTTTTAATATTTTTAAATTAGAATTACGTAATTTGTGGTAAAATTAATTTTAATTAAATTATGAAACACAATTTAATATAAAAAGAAAATGTTTTGTTTGTTTATGTTAGGATACTTTAGAATTCATAGCACTTGTTATTTTGTATTGATTTCGTTTTAAATAAATGCACAAGAATAGTTTCTTCTCTTTGTTACTTACTTGATTTGTTTTTCAATTTCATTCTATTTCTTAATTTGAATGAACCAATCATAAAAAAAATTTATAAAAATATAAAGAAATCTTCTNGATCCCAAAACAGAATCTATCCTTTTGTTTTTGGTTTAAAATAATGCTCCAATCCACAAATTTACTCGTTATAATCTTTACTACCAGCAACCCGCATATAATTAAAATTTCAATGTGCATTTTTCACAATAAATCTTATCAAAGGATTCTTTTTCATAAAAAATGATATATTTTTAAAACTTTTAATATCCTGATTCTATTCGAAGAAATTTTCAATATAGTTTTAAATAAAGTTTTTAATAAGAATGTAGTTTTAGTTTGATAAATTATTGTTAGTTAATGAAAGACTAAGGTAACAAAATTATTTATAAAACTAATTACTTAAATATATTAGTTTTTCTACACCTATATCTAATCATGTCTAAATATAAATGACTATAAAAATGGCATTAACAACCATAAAAATGTTTAAAATTGTATATTTTTTTGTAATATTCTTTAGATAAGAAATAATACGTATTAAATTTTTCAAATATTTAAAACACATTACAAAAGAATATAGTCTTTTTTAACTCCATTTTTTGCTTCTCCAGTGTTATCATATTTAATTTTTATAATTTATCTATGTTCCTAGATTTATAAATATTAAAAATAATTAAATATTCTAGAAACATTCTACCAATTAAAAAATTAAATATTATTTTTAATAATTAATTCAATATTTTTTAAAACATCTTTAACATGTTAAATTTTTAAATTAGAATTTCATTTTAAAAAATATTAAATTTATTATTAAAAATAATATTTAATTTTTATACTGTTTATAAATTCACCCATGCCTGAAAAAAAAGAAGAGAACAATTTTTTGAATTATAAATCACCTTCCACCAAACTAATAGTCTCTCCCACCTCTAAAGTATTAAGTAATCCAGAAAGTAAAAAGAAAATATTAAAATTATTACAAGAAAAATTGTTGAATNNNNANANTNANAATANAGAATNATTNT